CAGGACCGTGAAAGTTGTGAATGGCAAAGCGCCATACGTGCCGCTTGTTTGAACTCCCTGATTTATACACTTCGCACATTTCTTGCCGAGTTTAGCAAGGACCTTCGCTGCCCGGGCAATGACGATTGTAAATCACTTTCCAGGAAAGTAAATAGTTTGTGAGAGGACTAGCATTTTTCGGCATTGTTGAAGGATGACCTTTATAATGTGTGAACGAGCATCGCCAAGCAAATTGAAGGCGTTCAATAATTCTGATCAAGTGGCCCTAAGCATTCCTGTTTACAGGATAGTCCGGTTCTGTAAACCCAAGGAAACGATGTTTTGAGTGGTGGTTAACCACACTAACAAACAAACAGTGCGATGTTCTAATAGCCGATGCCTCCCCGTCCCTCATTTTGGCTTGGGTGATCCAACNCCCTGTCAGTTGACATCAAGATTGCACAATATTGATTGTTTGTAGATCTTTTCTGCCCGAATATAACAGACCCGCATCCACATCCAGACCCGCAATAACGAAAAGTCAGAATTACGCAAAAACATTAAGCAGTCAGACAGGAACTCGCACTTCTTTGAAATGTTACCGCGCAAACACTTCCAGGGTGTCTGTTTTGTTCGAAACAAGAAAAACGAAACCCTTGCCCGAAATGTTTAACGTAATCTCAGTCAGTTTGATGAAAATTCATAAGCCGCAGGAATCAAACTTCACAAACAGACTTTTCTGACTTTTCTTGCCTGGTCTGCAGTACTTTGCCAGTGACCTTGGGTGAGATGACGGCTGTTTTTCTCCCTTCCTTCCTTCTCAGAACTTCGTGAGAACGCCTTCATCAGAATACTGTCCATGATATCACAGAAATTATGTCACCATCTTTGAAGTGTCCAATATCGCTGACACACCCTCCCCCTTAGTACTCCTTATTGGCCATGTTACATCCTCTATTGACTTCCGCTTCAATATCTCCTCTGCCTGTCTGGGTTTTTGACCCAACCTATAATATTTGCCAGCTAGAAGCCCTTTTAGACTTCAGATTTGCAACGCTTTGCCAAACTTCCGCCATAATCTATTTTTTTTAATCTTCCCGATTGAAAATGATACTTGTCATAACACTAACAACACACAATGACAAATGAATCAATCAATGTTACAGCACGCTAACTTCACATCTACATCTTCTAGACGAATGAAATGGTATTCAAATCTTAACCTTAAACATGTTTGGAAGTATCTAAAACGGGAAATAACAACTTACAACAGCTGTTTTCTGTCACACACCGATCATAAAATGCCCACATCCCTGGTGACAATCGTTTACATTTTCTGCGATGTTTTGTAAACAAATACAAGAATGTGAAGTGTAAAATATATCTGCTTGCATTGCGAAATACCTGTGTTGGATATAGAGCTAATTAATGATCTGTCAAGCCGGTTATATCAACTCCAGGAATTAAAAGGTATGTCGAAAGAACATGGTTCAACTTAATATTCCTGGCGCTAAGCAGGTTTGCACGTGATCACTTGGTATCATTTGCAAACGAACAGCGGCTTAGCAAAACACTGCATAGTGGTTTATTTTCCCAATACTCAACTTCCTTTCCGTTAACGGTTTTGTCTTATTTGAACTCTCTAACTTTGACTTTCTTAATTCAATAATAAGTCATATACTGTCAACAAAACGTTGAACAACGTGTACACCGAATGCTGGTAAGTCCTTTCAGAGACAAAGGCTAAGAAGAGGATGAAGTATTTTAGGGGAAAAGGGATATCAGTCATCTTTGATAGACAGGACCAGGGCAGATGCTTGTCTTAACTCCACAGCAGAAGCTCTCCACATGTTCTTGACCTTGTGCTCGTTTACAATTTAGGAGGGCACGATGCTCAGAGACTGTGGTTGGCAATGAAATTCAGTCGGGTAGCGCAGATTTTATTGTTTTCACGCAGTGGTATGGTGTGTCAATCCAGCTGTGCGTAAAAGCCTGAGTTAACGAGACTTTCCAGATTTGTTGTCAAATGAAATAACTGTTGAAGAATTTTTTTGTCAAATGAAATAACTGTTGAACAAACTGTCACGGGTAGGGGGTTCTAGCGCAACGTCAAATTCAGTCGTGACAGCTAGAATGACATACCCTGTATATCTTGAAATAAATTGCAAAAATTACTTCAAGAAACACATGACAAATATAAATTATGAAGTGTATATGTGATCTGGAATGTTGATCACAAAGCAAGAGTTGGTTTTAAGTTTATTATCATTCGGATGTTTCTATTTTCAGGCGCCTATCCAAATAATTCGAATCTTTTCATTTCTCCGGATTATTGCCTGACCTATTCCCTCCTCTTTAAATACGTCATAAATTTAAGCCTTTAATATAGTTTAAAATGAATATTTTCTGTTCATGTCAAATCCATCATTCAAAGGTAAACAGATATAAATGCCCTATTCTACACTAGTACGGTACCCGATTCGGGTCTCAGAACCTGCCGAATCAATCAGTTTAAATTCTTCTTCTTCCAGTCAGTCATCGTATTGATATTTGATTTGATACTCCCGTTTTCCTAGGCGAGATGCTGGGGATTTCTGGGGTAAGTCAGATCAATTTCCCCTTCCTTGGCCCACTTCAAACCTGGGTCAACTAAGACAAGGTCTATACGCTTTAATCGTTAATCTTTCAAAACGCTCCGGTTTGTTCAGTCGCTGGGGTTCCAAGGTGGGTGATTTCAGTGAAAAAAGGAGATGCAACACGTACATGTTATATCAGATTTAATTGATACTTGCATTTTAATCCCGTGCAGATTTGATAACAACAGTGCTGTGTGACCGCCATGTATGTTGCTCTTGAACATAACCGAGCCTTTCTGAGTTTGCTATCTTCAGTAGATAGCATTGAGCTCGTTCTCTAAAAGAAGAGGCCAAAGTGTGACATTTTCGGGTTTTTGCTTGTTTTTTATTTGGTTATAAGCTGTACAAAATGGTTTTAAATTTAGAGACTCGACAATGTACTTATTCAAAACATATTGGTAGCCTGCATTGATCAGATGTGCTCTGTCAGTTCTGTGGTTTTCAGCTCCAAGCTAATCGCAGACGGCCTTTTATTTTTGACCAATTATTAACTTACTTATTCTGTGGTAGACTAGTGACCGGTCATAGTAGGTATCCGATGACAGTATCAGTCAACAGATCACTCAGTATCGTATCCCTGTATTTCCTCTATTGGGAGTTCAGGATCAGCCGAAATGACGGCTGGTAATGAGAATATTCAACCCACATGTGTGGTTGGTCATATTATGGGATAGTGATGCTGTGATGCAACTGAGGAAATGTGTACAAGAAGAAGTCCTTGGAGACGACAGTAGAACGAGCCCAGGTAGAAAAATCATACCAGAGAATGGTGCCTTAGCAAGTTCAAATAAGGAGTTGCATCTCTTGCCAGTGTCCAGTCAAGATTATCTTGTGATGGGTGTGTAGGCTATAAACATGACCCTGCAAGTTCTGCAGAAGATAGGACGACCAACCCAAGCATTACTGTGGTTTTATATCTCAATTATCAGGATTATGTGCAAGCTAAGACGCTCTGCAAGAGGTCGTCGCCACTGTCATGATTTGCTTGTTTAATTTGTGGTTTCTTGGTAAGGTTGAACTTGGGTTACGTCAATCTGAATTTTGACAGATCCATAGGATTAAGAGGTGTCGGCTCAAAATAGAATTCCTCCCAAATTATAATTAAATCTGAAATGCATTTCTGTCATAAACACTTATTACTGGTACTCATTTCTATTTATTTTTAAATTGTTTGAATCATTGAAGTCTCATTTTTATCTCTTTTTCTTAATTCAAGATATCTTTATGTTATATTTTGATGAAATATAATTTTTGATGAATTTCCTCAGATATTCATAAAAAAAACAGATTTCATCTTTGCTCGTTAATCCAAAAATTCATTTAACAAAGTCCAAAGAGAGTTAACCTTCAGATAAGAATGTAACATTGTAATGAAAGATATATCAGTTTTTACAGTAGGAAATTTAGAGAATGAAAATACCTGTTTTGTCCATAGTTAAACCATCAAAAATGAACATGATATACCCTACCCCCAACATTTAGGGTCTGACTGACCCTATTAGGGCATCCACATGGGACCTGCTTGTCCCAGCAGCGCTCAGGGTTGCACAATGGGGCTCCAATCAACCAACCAATCAAATCTGTTGGAAGTGATTACATGCCCAGCACTCAGTGGGCATGACAACAAGCTTTGTCAATGTTCAAGGTTAAGGCCAGTAATGTTGTCGTGTCCCATCATAGGAATTCAACATTATGTCAACTTTGTAAAGACACTCCAATTTCTCAGATGCCAATATTGTCCACCATTATTGTTAGGGATTATAATATTTGTTTTAATGAAATGATGGGTCGGATATTCAATATCCATTTTTTTACATTGAGAGTCTTTATTTCTTAGAGGCTTAGAGGTGTATAGGAGCCTACACCTATGAGATGTTTATTTCATGAAAAATACAGAACCAAGTGTAATATGTGGAAGTAGCATACCTTTGTGAAAACAGCTGTGAATTGGCTTCAATTTTCTGTTTAATGAAATGCAGTGCAGGAGGTTTGAAGGAATTCCCTCCCACAGTGGATAGTTTCATGGTATTCTTGAGACAGAAGTGTTACCAAAATGCACCACATCTTCAACTAAATCTAAATCAAATCAACTAAAGAATAGTAGATGAGCAATCCTTTTGTTGATATTTGTAATAATCCAGGGAAGCTGTTAACTTCCTTTTTTTAAGTTGTTAAAATGTATTTATCAACTCATCACTTCAGACTTTTGTTTCACCCAGTACTTTTGCTGACTTGGTTGTGATTAATTTTTTATTCCTCTCCGACAAAGAATCTACTACATGTATTTCAAACATAAAATGATCGGTGACAGACTCAGGTGGAAGATATTTGTAACATGGACACTTAATACAATTTTTTTTTGTCTTTTTCTCTAATCAATTACAGACGCCATGTTTGCACCTCTGCATCAACCAATGAGGTTTCCCCTGGTGTCATCGTTGAGTCCTACTGTCAGCCTTACTTCAAACCGTACTTTGCACGATGTGAACCTCAAGGCCAGCTCTGTACTAAATACCAGTAAGATTAAGGAAGAAATAAGTTGCTTCTAAAAGGTGTCCTACAGTGCGCAAGAAACAGTTACATTGTAATTGAGTTGCTTGTTCTATACATCACCTAAGCTTTGTACAAGCAAAGTACATGTACAAGCATCCCTTGTCAAACCTAAGTGAAGATGTCATCGTAGCAACCTATGGTACCCACAACACCAACTGTCAGTGACAGATTAAGCCTCTGGCAGCTGTTGAGATACAAAGGAGGAAATTGACCTACTTAGAGGGAAGAGCAGGGACAGAAGGAAAAGCTATTCAGTGGTTTTGATTGGTTTCCGAAATGTCCACCTCCATCCAGGAATGAAACGAGCAAACCACATTGAGGTCTCTTTTAGGGAAGTGATGTATGGTACCCAGTGGTAACTCACGGTGATATACTGCATCAGGGTACTGACCATTTGACCTTGGTCAAACAAAAATGGAGAAAAGGGAAAATCTCTTGTGGGTATAAATTGCTTCTGGAACTAAAAGCGGGGATCTGCAAAGTTTCCTTCAACGATAAAGGAAATTCCGTTTCCGAAAACATCAGGCTGACATTGGCCAGTATGCCATTTCTGAATTTCAGGTGGGTCACGGGTTTTGTTGACCAGAGAAACCAGTGACATTCTCCATTTTTGCTTAGCAACAGTCATTATCTTCTGTGAGGTTCCAAAATTCACGTATCCCCTTGCAACCATCAGTGTCAAGAGCAGTCGAATGAAGTCTCAAATAAGCATTGTGTTTGACCTTATAAATCCAGTCGAAAATCGAAACCTTGTTTGATAAAGGCAAGCAAATGAAGGTTGGTCGTTGCACCTTCGGTAATGTATTGTTTGCTGCACACTTTCAAGTCTTTGTCTTGAAACTTTTGGTCTCAGTCTCTGTCTTGATCTGGACTTGCAAAAGTCTCGGTCTCAGAAGGTCTGTCCTCGGTCTTGAAATGCCAGGTCTTGGTCTTAGCCAAGGTCTAGGTCTTTGTCTCAGAGTTCAGTGGAGGTCTTGACTATACATCACTGGTGCCCTGACTATGGGGCCTGATGGACATCCAAGTAAAATTTCACTCTTGACTGTACAGCATCCTTCCAAACTCTGACCACAGACTAGCAGTTAAAAATTAATGTTTCCTGACACAGTTTCACAACCCTCTGTAGAATTGGCAGGACAATGAGCCAATAAATAGGCTTCACTTTTTTGACCTTGAAATGTGAACTTAAGCAAGTTAAAACTTCAAAATGGTTTTCCGTAGTTGAGATTTTGGCAAAATGTTTTCTCACAGTGGTTTCTATGGTTTCTGATTGGTCTGGAATTCATCTTTATCCTGGCTTCATTGTTTCCACCATGAAGAATTTATTCTTAAATAGAAGATTTATCACAAAATAGACCTTGTCCTTCAATAGAAACATTAAAAATGCTACCACACAAGTAGATTTGTAAACTGCAGAGAACAAGCCCCTCCCAATTTGTCTTGATGTCCTGTTTCCTTCAGTAATATGATAATGTCAGCAGCCCTTCCTCTCCAAAGTCATTACACAAAACCTTAGAATGCTCTAAATTGCAATGAAGCGAGTCACGTCATGTTTATCACCAACTCCACCCGACATCCTGCATAGCCTGCCCTGGATTAGCACAAGATTCCACCTCCTTGTGGATTTCTTTCAGGGCTTGTGATAAGGCAAGCTTGGGCATGTGAACTTGAGCTAAAAGAGTGGGGGGTGGGGAGGCAATCGGTATCCCTTGTGGCATCCTCTCAATTTCAGACTGTTAAGTATCATAGGCAGTTCCTGACTATGCATGTCATACTCTCATTAGTACAGGGCACTTTAAAAAGCTTACATGATCCTTAATAATTTACTCAGTCTAACTTGCAAACCATCATCAAACAAACTGTAATTATTACACTCTAAATTCTTCAAAGAGCTCTTGGTAGTGTAGCTATAAAAGAATGAATGAAGTAGAGACAGAGCAACTCCAAACTAGAAAAAGTCCCCTTGTTTCCAAAATCTTCCTGATTTATGTTTGTTGACTGATACCAGACATTTGTAATATCTCATTACATACCACATACTTACCATACATTGTCAGAGTTACAATGACAAATACCCACTTGGCAGGTTTAGTGACTAAACACCCCCTAGGGTCCATTTCTAAAAGCAGCTTGGAATATCCTTGGATCAAATTACAAGTCTTGCTTCTTGTGCTGCAAGATGCTTTTAAGAAAGATTTCCTCTTCGGCATTAGTGGCTAATAGGTTTTAACGTCACTTTTTTGTTTCTTCATAACATTTAAAACTCGACAGTGATATAGTTGACATGCCTAAATTTTGATTTGACTGAGACTTGAGTGTGACATTGCAAATAATAGGATCTGTCTTTTCAGCAGTGGATCTGGTTTAGAAATAAATTTTGTTGTAAAAAGTCATCTGTCATCAAAATCTCATAGTCCAATTTGTCAAACGTTTTCCCAGCTATCCAATTTCAGAAATGCTCACAAGCATTGAAATGCTGGTTGACAGGTCACGCATTTTTCATTAAGATCTTCAAGTGCCCCCCCCCAGGGATTTGGTTCTGCTAATCGTCATGAGCTGTGTTTCTGTGTTTATCCCCTGACAGGACTGTTTATCGCATGGCGTATCGGACACGCAAGATACCCCAGGAATCACGAGGACCAAAATACGTCTGCTGCCCTGGATGGAAACAGCACAATCCACAGGCAAATTCCTGCAATGAACGTAAGTAGTGGATGTGTACAGTGGCGTGTACAGTGGCGTAATTGGGCTACATTTTGCAGGGGGGCAATTGGATGCCCTCACTTTTTTTATTGGAGGGGGGCACTCAATGGGTTCTGTTAAAGTTAAAACACCCCAGCTAAGGCAGACTGTCAGTGGATATTTTTCCTTTTTTTTTGTTCAAGACAGCCCCTTGCCTCAAGACAACCCCTTGCCTCTTATCCACCACCTGTTACTGTGTTAATCACTTAGATTGTGTCCTTTATCATTCATTGACAGCTGTTTGCAGTATAGAATGTCGGCATGGTGGACGATGTGTAGCACCTGAGTCATGTGCTTGTCCTCAGGGTTATAGTGGGCAGTATTGCGAGGAAGGTGGGTTCCAACTTCCAAAATCATGAGGCATTGGAATGTTGCCTGAAGTGTGATCAGTTGGGACAGATGATGAGACGAGGAGCGGGTTAGCGTAGCGGTTCTTTCTTCGCTTTGCACCAATGAGGCCCGGGTTCAAGTCCCGGCTTCGCCCAGGCTTTAAGTGCATTTGGTTTCCAGTCCATACTCGCTCTCGCAGGTTTTCTCCGGGTACTCCAGTTTCCTCCTGCCTCTAAAACTGGACCTTCTTCCTAACTCCGTAATGTGAGGCTGATTAATAAAGTGTATGATTAAACGTACAGTTATTGGCGCAAATAGACTGAGTTGCTGAAAGCGCCATTAAAACAAAACAACAACAACAACAAGATGATGAGACTGTCATCCTGCAGATGACCTCCCTAAATTGTGGCCAGTTTTACCAAAGTTGGGCAGACCAAGTCCACAAATACATGTTTCATTTGCTGTGTGTGTGACATTGAGGGCGCTGCATAGGCCCACCAGTCAGAGCTGTTTACAGAGAGATTTGTGACATGAGTGTCTCCATTGTTGGAATCAAAATGGTGGATTATGCATCGGTGCACATGGACAAATTAGTACACAGTACCTGCTGTATTGCACACGTAATGAACAGCCATTTTGCTTCCGTAAAATTCTGAAGTTCGCGCTTTGCTCTCTACATACAGCTGTGCCAACAGTGATTACTTTAGAGGTTATATGTTGTTTGTTATTTCCTTATTGTAATCATGCATGATCTTATTGTAATCATAAGGAATTAATTTTGGGGAAGAGTCACTCCCATATACAGATTGGTGCATTGTCACCACGCAAAGGTTAAGACAGGCAGAGAACAGATAATCTGATTTGTTTTGCATGTATTAAGATAGCAAGATTTTCAAAGTATTTTTTCAAGCGAAATTTTCTTTCAAATTGGAAATGAAGAAATTTTCAATTTCCGCTTTTTAAATTGGCTTTTTAAATTGTGTGTAGTTGGTGGCGATGAGAGCTTTACTCGTACATTGCATAATCATTTGTGAACAAGTGAAGTGCAATTCCAACAAAAGGCCCCTCCATTGCGAGGAAAATTGCGCCCTCTCTTGGTCCAGCTTGGGACTCATTGTTGAAGCAATGCCATAGTTAATCCTCTCTCCATCCCGTCTTGTCTGCTCTTTTGTCCAGTGAGCTGCAATGTGGAGTGTGCCAACGGAGGTTTCTGTCTGACCCCTGACACATGTTCCTGCACTGGTGGATGGCAGGGGGAATCCTGCCAAGAAGGTAAGTAACCCTGGCAACAAAAAGTAGTGCCACAGAATGATGTGTTTGAGTTTGTTACTCTTGTTAACCACAAGTATACTCCTGAGTACATGGACGGCAAGATTATCATAGGATTATCTTGCATCACATGATAACCTAAAGATGGCAGCAAGGTAATCACCGACCAGTCACATGGGCTTTGTTTGTTTCACACAGATCAGGATCTCGATCAGTGATCCCTCGTTGGTTCACTAATGCCAGAACCTGGGTAGTGGATAGAGTGAACCAGCTTTTAGGATCACTGATCGAGGTTTTGATCCATGGGAAACAAACCGGCCCAATATGTAATTCAAGAGTAATGCACATGCAACATTTCCTGGTTCCTGTTGGGAGTAACTGGGAAATGCAGCCAGTGAGCATTTTTAAAAGCTACACACAGACAGTGATACAAAAGTTGTCCACAGGGAACCGAAGGCAACTCAAAAACGATATCAGCCCTCATCTCCTGAATGATTGAGATTTGTAATTGCAAAACCCTCTTACACTGAATTCTTGCAGTTGAGTTCAAGTTTGCTCGTATGGAGATTTATACGGTTAGTTTGCTTGTGCTGACCAGTGTAAGGATTTTTATATATTACTCACAGCTCTGTGTCTTCGCGCTTGTGAAAATGGCGGTAGGTGTGTCCAGCCAGACTCGTGCGCCTGTCCCAACGGTTGGACTGGTCGCTACTGCCATGAAGGTGAGTATGACTTTGAGAAAAATAAGACTAGTAAATAAAACTTTAGACAGTATTGCCATAATTCGGTAATGCTGATTGAATCAACAAAGATAAATTTCACTTCCAAAATAATTCAACTTGAAAACTTGCAACAGTTTTACTGTAACCAACGTCTTTGATAGATTGGTAAATACCAACAAAGCAATGAATTTCAAGCAAGATGTTGTGTAGAATTTTTGGCATCTTTGATCCAAATGACATGATCCTATCTCATGAATATTGATCAGGCATATGCTTTTGCAAATTACCAGAAAGTGGTTTTGTAGCCAGGTGTCTTTTAATACAGCACACTTCTTCTCTAGCTGGCTCAAACAAGAACAAATCCAAAACCAAATTTCCAAAAGGGGGGAATTGTGTTTAGGGGGTAAAATATTTTGCAAATGTTTTCATGTAACCTTTTGTGGCCTTTCTGAGGGATGATGCTACATTTTGGGGATTTTTAAACACTTTTTACAAGAAGAAATGAAATAGACTGAAAAAGGTGCCTGTTTCAATCTTTCAAAAATAAAAATATCATTTTGCTCCTATTGGTGGGGGAGGGGCCATCACTGCTGTTGGCTCCACCCCCCTGAATCCTCCCTGGGCTCGAATGAATAATTCATCACCGCCTTCGTCTTATTTGCTAATCTTAGACGTCAACGAATGTGAGACAGATTCTCATGGCTGTCATCACCGATGCAGGAACTCTGATGGTGGTTACACATGCTCCTGTCATCCTGGGTTTACCCTCGATGAAGACGGTCTCTCATGCTCCAGTAAGCCCTTCTATCTGTACTTGGGTCGTGTCTTTGGTTCCGATTACTCACAAGATGGTTCATCACCGAGCAGTTCCTTTCAAGAGGGTTATTGCAGTGTTTGAAAAGCATTTGGTAATTCTGTGCACAGAATTTATCAGAGACTATAAAGAGAACTGTCCACAACTCAAACACTCCACATTTTTTTCTGAAGTTTGGATTGCCAACTTTGTTACCTCTTGCACAATGACACAGACAGAATTGTTTTTTCCATTTTGGATTTATCAAAGTGATGTTATTTGCACACTGCAAATATAAGCTGAGGAGAATGATAGTCAGTGCCTTGTGGAAAACCACCTAGTCTCTGCATTGCTGGTGGAAATATCTACCTGGAGCCAGATCAGTTTTGTATTGGCTTAACTCCAAATTTTGTTCAAATGCATACAGTCTTAATATTCACATATTTATTTCTGTGCAGTTTGTCTCACGTGCAGTCCGGAGTATGTAGCTCTTCAAGAAAAAGTCAAGCGTATTGAGCAGGTAAGAATGACTAGAGAGCGTATACATTTGACTGTGCTGTGTTTGTGAAAGTTTTGCTCGTTTGCTTGTTCTGACTTTTGTTTGTCGACCCTGTCATTTACCAAATGGATTTTGCCAACATGTTGCTCTTTTTCCTATCTATGAATGTATTGAAAGTTCTTCACTCTTGAACTCTCCTTGCAAGAAATTATTTTCATATTTAAATAAGTTGTTTCTGGGAAACTGTTGAACTAGTTGATAGTGTTACTTCTCTTATGTCATGCTAAAATTGTGTTTCTTGCTTTCTCTGCCACAGAATCTTGGTGTCATGCAGGCAGAGAGTGCAACAAGAGAAGAAGCGACAGTGAAAGTGGTCAACATGCCCCTCAATGATGAACAGGTGTCTAAGATTGAACTCATCACATCACTGAGTGAACAGATCTCAATGCTGGAGGAAAGACTGGAAGATTGTGAGTAGACCAGGATGGGTATGAGGTTGATCAATGATGAAGTGTCTTGAGGAATGAATTGGAAAGACTTTTTGTGCTTAATTTTGAAGGAAGCTCTCAAAAGATTTCCTAAGATTCAGAATTTATAACAACATCAAAGAGGCTCACGTAAGTCAGTTATATGACGCACAAGAAATATTCTCAGAGTGCCGTCACTTTCCAAGGATGTATTCTCAACTTGGCTGTCATTAGTGTGTTGCAAAGCGCCCTCAATCACTTGTTCACAAAGCCAACATAAAGCCTGATGTGACACAAAACCTATCTTCAATGTAGCTTTGGCTTCATTATGAAGTGTGTTTGAGTGTTGAACTGTTATAGTGTAATAATGAACTTTTTCACGAAGCCAACAGATATTGTTATTGGCATTGGAAACTGAATCTTACTTCAGCAATGCTGTTCAAATAAAAGCAGGATAACACCTCTGTGTCTCATAGGGAAAACATTACTCTTTTTCACATTGTCATAAATCATTTCCAGATCCATCAATTTTGAGTTATGAAATGATGAATTGATGTTTAGCCTGAAGCAGACACATTGCTATGAGGCAAGGGGGCTTGGAAGAAAACTTCAGGAGGGAGAGGAAAAATTAGACTAAGATTCAGGAAAAAAGATTGAGGATGATTGATGGAGCAATGGATGAGAGAATGGGTTGACCAGAGATATTGACACAAAGTTTGATAGGAGACATATGAGATAGCCAAGTGGAACTTGACAACGGTAACTTAGTAATAATTGTAAGAGGAAAAAAGAAGATTTAATGCAAACTGCTTACAGACTGAAAGAACCTGTATTGAATTTTTTTCCCAAGGGAGTTAGGCCCAAGCAGAATCTTTTAGCGTCTGATGAAGATTTGTCTAGAACCCGAGCATTGTGCCATTTTGTCTAAGCTAGAAACAGTTCAGTCAGAAGAAATATTAAAGAAAACTACTCCATGCCTCTTCATGTAACATTCCTATCCCAACTTGTGAAATTTGAGTCAATACCACTGAAGTAGGGAGAGCTTCCCCTCCTTGAATTCAAACATTTTGAGTTGATTCTGACTTAAACCTGTTCTTGTTCCTTGTAGGTACGTGTAAAGATTACCAAAGTGGTCAGAGGCAGTACCCAAGACGGAGACTCAACCGAGATAGACGATCGGAAGACAAAAAAAGGACCCACTCTGAGAACACAAATCTTTAGTCAGTTGGCGCAGTAGTGCATTGCATTCAATAGTTATCATTTTGCCGTGATGTTGATCTTCAGTTACCCATTTCTTTCTCTTTGTAGACATACAGGGTCTTAAGTCTCAATTTCACGTTGCATCCTCTTTTAAATGTTAATGCCTTAATTGTCCACTTCTAAAAGAAAAAGCCGAGTAGTTCCATCTGAATGTGGATGCTTGTGCAAACAAATTTTTTCTAGCTTTGGGTAATCCCTGATATTTAGTTCAGATAGCTCTTGAGGTCATGTAGCATCTATTCATAATCCATTGACACTTTTCATACTGTCTGATGTAATGTGGAATGTATGAAAGCTGCTTCTTTTTAATGTAATAACTTCTTGTAGCAAAATACGAAACTATGTAGGAACTTTTAAACCAAACTAATTATATTGTCCTTTCGAGAAATAGCTAAACTAATTATTTTGTCCTGTCAAGAAATCTTGCATTGTGTGAATACAAATGACTCCCTTTCTACCCCTTGCACAAAATTGCTTCTGAGGACACTTTGAACTGAAAGAGATAAAAATCTCTGTCATTCTGTGTCATCCAGCTGTTGAACTCTCTCTGGTTTAGATCGGAAAATGACAAAAAAACAGACAAGTTACCCTTTTTTGAGTGAGGGATACCATTTGGGGGATAAAACATCTTAGTGATTGGTTTCTGTATGCTTGGAAATCTAATGTTACAAAGTGATGATTTTGAAGTGTCTTTGGGAAAATCACTTCATCTTAATTATACAAGATAGAATGACTTCAAAGGGCAAAGTTCCCAAAGGTCTTCAGAACAAGTCTTCCAAAACAGGCTTCCAAACAAGAAACAAGGTTTATATGGATGGATGGAGCATTTAAGGTGCAGAATTTCGCTCTTTGTAAAGTTATTTCATGTCTGACATCATTATTGTTGGTTAAATGTTGGACTAGTAGACTCAATTGTTTTAATATATGACCTTTCAATATCGCTTTATTATTAATTATTACTGAACTTATATTTTTTTATGAGTTCAAAATGTTAAATAATATTTTAAAGATGTCATATATGAGGGGTTTGGTTTCCTTTTCCTGGATGTATCATAATTGAACATGGCGAGTGTGTTTTTTCGAACTGTTTTTTTCTTACAGGAGCAGGGCAAAAACTTGTGCTGTGAAGGATGGCTTATTCCTTAGCAGTAACAAGTGCTTTCTAAATGTAATTTCACAGTTAAATCATTTTCACTTTGCACAGCAATATTGAGGGGTCTTTTTTGTAAAGATCTTTAACTTTTACTAAACTTGCACAGTAGTGAAAGAAATTTGTGCCCACTGTTGCATATTTAAAGACAGAACAAGGCCCAAAACTGTCATCTTATGTTGCTCTGATTTCAGCATTTTAAGGAGCTTCTGTGTTTTTATGTGAAAGTTTTAATTTTAACTGCTGTATATAAAAATGTAAAAAGACTTTTCTCAAAAAAATAAATTTGTTTGCAAATTAAATTTGCATTTGCACTTTACATATGACTAAATTATGTGCAGTGTGGAAAATGTGTATTTTTTTTTCTTAAAAAAGTTATACACTGTATGACCTGTTGGTATCATGGCGCACTAGGTAAGCGCGCCGTTCCCTTTACTGCGTCACGTACGAGCCGTACACTTATTATTACAATCGTGAAACTTTCCTAGTGGCAGTCTCTTGTTAAAAGTGAAATTGCTTTACCAGAAAGTCCGTCCGCTGCTTTTGTACGTTACCATGACATCGGTATGTTGAAATCCACTGTTTCATTGTTTTGTTTATTTTTCACCCCCTCAAAAGGGGTGGGGCTTTCTTTGGTACTGTGTTTTTGTTACAGCGCCCTCAGATGACTGTTACTTCACCTTTGAAATCACGCGTGGTTCAGAGCCCGCGGTTTCTCTTTTATCATGCTTTCAAAGTCATCGACGTCACTCATAATCTGTCATTGTGTTTGCGGCAAACCACATGCAGGAATGATACCACTTTAGTCGCCAAATCAACATATAAGTTGTGGACTATCATATTTCTGCGACTGGAGGTTTTTTCTCTGTTTTTCCTTGTGAAGAGCAAATGTGGATTTTGAACTCCAGTTTACAAAACCCACGATCGATGCTCCCGGCCAGCAGAACTCTCGATGGGTTGCTGAATTTTTCTCATTAACTTCCTGCACGCTGGAAAAACATCGACATTGTTGTTCTGGACTCAGCGCTGTCCGTACTGTCGAAGTCTCTTTTTTCGTGGGTGAGCCCGTCAACAGAGAATAACGGTATGAATGAATCGTGTGGAAGCGTTTTCGTTGAGGAAGTGGATGAAGAAAAAGAGGGGCCAGCAAGAGCTGAAGGTTGGATCAAGGTTTTTGGTGAGTAAACAATAGTTTGTTGAGTTACACTTAATCCCATTAATCTTACGAGAATTAAAAAGTAGAAACATACCCGGAAAGAATTCCATATACGAAGTTCACTTTTTAGGAGAAATTTTTGCTCCAGGACAGATTTAAAAAGGGGCGACATTTATTTTTGGGGGATAGAGATGTGAAAGGGGGTTCAGTAACTTAGGGGGACAGGTTTAATGACCAAGATTGGCCGTGTTAATGCATACCTCAGTATCCTAGGAACAAATATTACAAGCATATTTCCCTTTATTTGGCTTCAATGGTGGGTTTTGCCGTCTTTGGAAATTGGAGGAAGTAGCATGAATTTTAGGAACAATTTTTGCGACAGCCTGATACATTGTAAATTTAGGAAGTTAAAGTTGATTGAAGCACAAGGCCTATGCCTATTCGCTTAGAAATAAGAGAATAATCATGTGATTTTGACAAAACATGCTTTTACTTTTGAATGATCTTATGGTACATTGCTGTATGGCCTAATATTGAGACAAATGTAACTTTTTGAAATTTTTATTTTTAGAGAGCTCTTTGTCCGTCATTCATTATTTAATAAATGGTGTTTTTATAGCTTTGCAAGTTTTTAAAACAAGCACGGTGAAGGAATTTTTTCCGTGGGAAAGAATCCCTTTGGCTTTTACCCAAATCCTGGCTTCTTTCGTAAACCAAAAAACACCTTTGTGAAAGTCTGAGTCTATTCATCCATTCTCAAACTTGTCCAAATTCTCACCCAAACACTTCTTGGCACACACTCCGGTGCTGAAGGGATCAAGTTTGTATTTTGAAAAGAGAGAATTGTGGGGACCTTCCGCCGGTAATCGGACTGGTTCTATTGAATCAGAGCTTCCAACCTGCAATCCCATCTAACAGAAGGCTGTAGGGCACAATCTGGATTTCTATGCAGGTGAGGTGTACTGACAGGAGGGCTCAGTGAAGTGCACTATGGTATATGAACTTACTTGAACTGCTTTCAAAAGAAAAGGGCTGTAGACGGAATTCCAACAAACGATAAACGGACTAAACTTTGGTAAACTATTGGAATGCTCTATTGTTGCTTGGATCTGTAGGGGAAGGGCTTAATGTGTTTACTTGTTGGTAGGAAAACTTTATGTGGTCATAAACGTTGTTACATGACATTTGGCAGGAATGTGTGGATCAGTAACATTGTTCTCTTGGAACTTTATTTTCCTTTGATGTTCTCTGGAATACCTGTACTATAGATTTGGTTCTCATTTGTTAGTTTCCAAAAATTTGTTCAAGTTAGTCTTTATTTGCAATTTCTCCTAAACTTATAAGGCCATTATTTACGAGATATAAACATTAACAAGTGAAATGTGATTCATTCTGATCATGAAGTTAGTCGTTGACAAGCAGTGTAAAGAAGGCAACATTGTCTTGTGGAAATTCTTTGGACAACTCTCAGAAATTTTGCAACATATGACTGTTACAACTTACATGCCAAACAATGCCAGTACACATGTGTGCACTGATTTCAAGATTGACTTCATTTCAAGTGAATGGTGCACCCTTCTAATGGACTTGCTAAGTACTTGTACTTAAAATATGAAGGAAATACTCGTTTGTATTAATTTTAAGGAAACTCAGAACTCCCAGCAAATTCTGTATTTTGATCAGAAAACTCATCAAAGTTGAATTCAAATTTACAGATTTACAATGTAGTTTCCATGTATCGACAAACATGTACACACACACAGACATAAACACAGACATGTACATGGACACAGACATGTACATGGACACAGACATGTACATGTACACAGACATGTACACGGACATGTACATGGACATGTACATATACATGTACACAGACATGTACATGTACACAGACATGTACACGGACATGTACATGGACATGTACATATACATGTACACAGACATGTACATGTACACAGACATGTACATGTACACGGACATGTAGTATATTGCTTTGTGAAATAGGGGAAGGCTTACTGTTCATACAATTTGTACAGTATTGTACATACAGGTAGGCCTATGTCTCTCGTGTGCAACTTTTTCTCTTTTTGGTCCACTGACATTTCTTCCATCAAATAGACTAGAAAAAAATTTAGAATGAAGGACTGGTTGAAAATGGAAGTTTGGTTGAACAAGGTTATAAAGACATGCTGCATGAATTCAGAATTGGAAAAAAAATGGATTTAAAGACCCCAAAACCAACTTGTTGGGAGGGGGGCTTTTTCATTGAGAGTAAAGCATTGCCATTTAAATTATTCCTATTCATAAATTTTACGTTTTATTAATCGTGGTTGAACCCGTAACTTACATGTAGTTTTGCAACTTTTAATTATAATTTTAATTGTAGTTTTGTATAATTGTCATTGTGTAATCATGATATTTTTGCTATTTTGATATATACAGCACTATTGAATATTGGTACTAGAAATGACGCTTAAGAAATGAAATAAATGTTAAATTGAAGCTCATGAAATTTCAAATGTTTTATATAGCACACTTTAATCTTCATTTTATTGAAGGCACTTCATTTTTGTCGTGAAGCCTCAATCCCAAAGCAGTTTTGTACATGTGCTCTTGGCTAAACTGTAAATTGAAGTCACTGTCACAACACGAATCCTGATAATTGCAACAGATCCAATTATAGTAGCTGACTCAAAAGAATGTTTTTATGTTTTGATTAAATGGAGTTAGCGACTGCACAGTTCTGATATGGGCCTATAATTAGCAATTGTAATGACTCTCTGTCTTTGTGATGCATCCTTGAATTTGTAATGGTCATAAATATTAGCTCTGTGGTTTTGTTGTGCAGAAGACGAAAGGGAAATTAGATACTTGACAAGTTTTTAAATTGTGTATTTTTGTTTGCCCTCCAAAACTGATCATTACATTAATCGGATTACTAAAATGGATATTTTTCATAAAGATTTTTATTAGTAGTCAAATTTTTTCAAGTAAGATATGTACATTTATCATGAATTTTATACATAATTGGGGTTTATTTAAATCATGCAAAATATTGTAATCAAAATAGGGCCATCATCTGTTACACTTCTGCAGTAAATTTGGCAGTCAGTAAGTTACAAGGTACATGTCCATGTACACAGTGAATGTTATCATAGTTTCTATATTCATTCAATTAATGTCATTTACTAGTCTGATACATTTTTGTATCGTATAATTGATTTTGGCTAGTTTCAGAGGAGTTTAAAGGACAGAGGCTGAATAGCAAACAAGTGTGGATAATTGCAAAGGATGCATTGGGTCAAGGACTTTTTAATGCATGGCCAAGCAGACATTCAGAAGATTCAGATGATTGCATGTAAAATCATGACCTATATTGTTCCAGGATACCATGACCAGAAACTACTGGAGGAGTTTGAAGGTTTGAGGCAGTGGTCATTCCTCCGAGGAAGATATTCAAGAAAAATGGAGGATTTGGGAGGATTGAAGCTGTATCTAATTTCTCCATGGTGTCAGTTGGAGGATTTTGAAGGATTAAGGATGCATCTAAACCAAAAGATGCTCAAGATTTCTTATGTCACTTGAATATGTCACTCTGTCACTGACCTCATCATTCAGAGCTAAAAAAGAAAGTGGAAATTATTCCTGATATCGATACATTTTATTTCCACTTTCATATCCGTTGATCTGTTCAGTATTAAGTAACGAAAAAATGTCCTCTTTTGCATTGAAGTGCCCATTGTTATATTAACTATTACAGTTCTAGAATTTATACATCAACTTTTTATTTGGCAGAAATGACTTTGTTTTGTGAGCATGTACTGTAGACTTTACTTCCACGTTCAAAAGTTCTCACGGCGTGGACGCAAGCAATAAATTGTAAAATGCTGCTTGTTGAATACCATGGTTGTGCACGTGTGCCCAAGTGCATGCACTGCAGCTGTGTACCTGGTTCCTTCCACAAA